AATTAAACCTACTAGTTGGCAAACCCCTAATGGGAAACCCTTTTTCTTATTTTCTATTAGATTTTATTAATAATATACTTATATACATTGTTTTTATACATAATATGGTATTATTTAGAATTAGTATTTGGAAAGAAATATTACTAATGAAATATGTCCAAATAACAAAATTTTAAATAATCAAAATCATATTAGCATTGAATTCATTTATTCCTTCATTTTCCCTTAAATTTATTCTTTTGGATAATCTGCAACATATACTATTTTTGGTTTTAATATTTTCATAAATACTTTATTATTCTTAGTTGGGTACACCCTTATTATCATGATGTTTCAGTATTCTTTTTTACCAAAAAAGGTTTTGAACTTTATACTTATCTTTTTTAATTAATTTCTTCTTATATATTATTTCTAACAAACACTTTTCCAGATAGTTAGTGCAGAATTAGGTCTCATTCTTTAATTTTGTTAATTATTTCATTTGATTCATCTATTATAGAAGATTAAGGTCTTCTCTTCAAATGAGATAGTTATTCTTCAAATTCTTATAATGTAAGAACTATTATTTATCATCCATTTTTATGCTGTCAGTTTATTTTTCTGAATATTCCACTTTATCAAATTAATTCAGCATCATACTTGATTTATTCTTTCCAAATTATTCTGATGATTATGGAGATCTCAATAATTTATCAGGTTCTTATACACTTGCTGATTTTGAAGCCAAAATTTTAAAACTTATTTTTTAGTAGCTCTTCTCTTCCGTTTCTTTATGAATATCTTTTTCAATAATGCACTAACTAATGGAAACTCTTAAAATCACTAGGAGGTGGTTCTCTATATATACTTATTAATTAATTTAGTTATTATTATTATTATTATCAATATTATTTCTTTTTAATAATTTAATTATTAATTAATATAAATAAAATAAATTTGAAGTATTATGTTATAAGCTATTGATCTTTCATTCGATCCTGAAAAAGGTTACACATTTCATTAAGTAATATGCTACACATCCTACACTCCATTAACCTGAAGATTCAACCTCTTTTCCTAAAACTTCAGGTGATGGAAATGCACTATGTTGAAAACATCTATCTAATATTTTTTCATTACATGATTATACTTTCACCTATAATTACTCATCCAAAAATACATTATTCAACACTGTCACTAGTACTTATTATTCTTCTAAATAATACATTGCTGACATAATCCAGTATAATATAGTTAGCATAGTATTTTCTGAGAACTTATTGTTTTACATTATCTAATTTTATATTGTTCATTACTTCTAACAAATCATTTATTGTTTAACATCTTTGTACAGAACAAATCTATCCTCTTTCCTCCCAATACTCTTCCACTAATAATAAGTTTGGATGGTTCGAATGATAAATTAATCTATTAAATTCGCTTGGTGGTTATATTGATAATATATATGTATCCTTTGTCTGCTTATAATAAAAAAAAGACTTGCTGTTAGAAATTTTATGAGTTTTTTCTAACATTATTTTTAATCAATAACATAATTTCAATTTTATTTATATTAATAAATATTTTATAAGTTTTTTATAAGCTGTAACATAATTACATAATTTATTTTATAAACAAAAATAAATTCATCATTTAAATCTTTACATTAGTTAATTTTATAGCTTTTTCATTTCTTCTTCATCTTCTTTTTCAAAAATTGTATCTATAACATCGAATTCATAATCATCTGTAATTTAATTTAAAGATTTTTCATTCAATTTACTTAATAATTCATCTCTTTGTGTATCTCGTCTTACAAATATAATATTTTAAGGTTTGAAATATGAAAAATTTTTTTTCAACTCGTTTTCAGTTTAATTTTAATCATCACTTAATTACATTTCTGTAACAATAATGCTTATAATAGTGGAAAATTTTCTGAAGAACTTATATATTGATAAAATCTTTTTTTTCATTAGATCAGTTCTTTCAAAATTAACAACTACAAAAAGAGATCCTACTTAGTTTGGATATTTATAAAATATAGATTAATAGAGTTGTATTTATTATTCTCTTTCATCTATATTTGATTCAAAATCAAATCCTTTTGTATCTACAAAATTATAAATTAAAGAATCATCAATTCTTGCTGAATATAATTAAAATTCTTTAAAATTACTAATATAACCTTAAAATATAGTTTTTATTATTGATGTTTTACCAACTCCTGCGCTACCTAAAAATAATGCAATTGGATATTAATTGCAATTGTTTTATAATTGCTAATCGGTGATAGGTAACTTAGATTTTTATTTTGGTTATGGTTTTGGAGGTTATAATCTTGGTCTTGGATTAATAGGACCAAAAGGGGGTAATGTATTGGAAAATTTTGCTGAATAAGGGACCTCTAATTAATTTTGACCTTCATCTAGTTTATCTGGATTTAATGGTAAAGGAGGTTATATTTATTTATTTATATCTAAAGGTTTGGAGTTATCTTCTTGATCTGTTTTAATTTCCACTAGCGTAGATTTATCAAAATTTTATTAAATTATTTTTGGTGGATCTTCTTAAGGTTCTTTTTCATTTTAGTCTGATATGGCCTAATAGTTTATCTACTGTATTTATAAATCAATTTATATAGGAATATCATTCGTATTTTATTATTCTTCTCCGTCATTATTTAATTTATCTTGTGTTTTACATTCTTCACTCTAGGAAATTTCTGTTGTAGATGCACAATATTCCTATTGAGTTATAGTATTTGCATTTTATGAATCATTTAATTAATCAGTTTATTATTTAAATANTTTGTAGTATTTGCATTTTATGAATCTTTTAATTAATCAGTTGATTATTTAAATACTTATTTCTTTATAGTATTTGCAATTTATTAATCTTTTAATTAATCAGTTTATTATTAAAATTCTTATTTCTTTATAGTATTTGCATTTTATGAATCTAATTAATCAGTTTATGATTAAAATTCTTATTTTTTTGTAGTATTTGCATTTTATGAATCTTTTAATTAATCAGTTGATTATTTAAATACTTATTTCTTTATAGTATTTGCAATTTATTAATCTTTTAATTAATCAGTTTATTATTAAAATTCTTATTTCTTTATAGTATTTGCATTTTATGAATCTAATTAATCAGTTTATGATTAAAATTCTTATTTTTTTGTAGTATTTGCATTTTATGAATCTTTTAATTAATCAGTTGATTATTTAAATACTTATTTCTTTATAGTATTTGCAATTTATTAATCTTTTAATTAATCAGTTTATTATTAAAATTCTTATTTCTTTATAGTATTTGCATTTTATGAATCTAATTAATCAGTTTATGATTAAAATTCTTATTTTTTTGTAGTATTTGCATTTTATGAATCTTTTAATTAATCAGTTGATTATTTAAATACTTATTTCTTTATAGTATTTGCAATTTATTAATCTTTTAATTAATCAGTTTATTATTAAAATTCTTATTTCTTTATAGTATTTGCATTTTATGAATCTAATTAATCAGTTTATGATTAAAATTCTTATTTTTTTGTAGTATTTGCATTTTATGAATCTTTTAATTAATCAGTTGATTATTTAAATACTTATTTCTTTATAGTATTTGCAATTTATTAATCTTTTAATTAATCAGTTTATTATTAAAATTCTTATTTCTTTATAGTATTTGCATTTTATGAATCTAATTAATCAGTTTATGATTAAAATTCTTATTTTTTTGTAGTATTTGCATTTTATGAATCTTTTAATTAATCAGTTGATTATTTAAATACTTATTTCTTTATAGTATTTGCAATTTATTAATCTTTTAATTAATCAGTTTATTATTAAAATTCTTATTTCTTTATAGTATTTGCATTTTATGAATCTAATTAATCAGTTTATGATTAAAATTCTTATTTTTTTGTAGTATTTGCATTTTATGAATCTTTTAATTAATCAGTTGATTATTTAAATACTTATTTCTTTATAGTATTTGCAATTTATTAATCTTTTAATTAATCAGTTTATTATTAAAATTCTTATTTCTTTATAGTATTTGCATTTTATGAATCTAATTAATCAGTTTATGATTAAAATTCTTATTTTTTTGTAGTATTTGCATTTTATGAATCTTTTAATTAATCAGTTGATTATTTAAATACTTATTTCTTTATAGTATTTGCAATTTATTAATCTTTTAATTAATCAGTTTATTATTAAAATTCTTATTTCTTTATAGTATTTGCATTTTATGAATCTAATTAATCAGTTTATGATTAAAATTCTTATTTTTTTGTAGTATTTGCATTTTATGAATCTTTTAATTAATCAGTTGATTATTTAAATACTTATTTCTTTATAGTATTTGCAATTTATTAATCTTTTAATTAATCAGTTTATTATTAAAATTCTTATTTCTTTATAGTATTTGCATTTTATGAATCTAATTAATCAGTTTATGATTAAAATTCTTATTTTTTTGTAGTATTTGCATTTTATGAATCTTTTAATTAATCAGTTGATTATTTAAATACTTATTTCTTTATAGCTTAATTTTAAATATCAACTTATTTTTTCTCTTCATCACATTAATGATTTATTATAGCATTTTTTTATTTTTTAACCAATTAACTTAATTAATTCTATGGATTTTCAATGACAATTTTTTTGACATTATGGTCACCCTAAATCTTTACTGGGGATTTTATTCTGTTTTTTATTTATTCTTTGAGGTCATTAATTTTATTATTTGGATATTTCTACTGTTACTAACAATTAAATTATTTTTTAGTTTCAATCTATTATTCCTATTTTTTTGGACTACTTAATTTAGGCAATTATTATTCAATAAACTAATATTCTTATTATTTATTGTTAAAAGTTTTTGATACAAGATTATTGTTAAAATTGTTAAATTATATCTATTATTTTTTGATTTAGCTATCTGTATTTATTTATTAATTTATCTTATTCTATATATTCGGAGAATTTTAATTCTAATTGTTATTTTACCCAACCCCAAAATTTTGAAAAATCTCATTTACTTTTTAAGTATAATGATTTTATGAAAATGGAACCTTAGAATTACCTTTTGATTCCTACAACTTCTAATTTCTAGAAACAACAAAAACTTATTTTTAATCAGATTTTGCTTGAACCCAAATTGGTTGTTTTTAAATCGTCCTAAAATTGTCTCTATTAGCCTAACTCTAATTAGTATTTTAGATATTTGAAATAACTTAAGGCATAATTTATGTTGTTGTATGTTGAGGTATATTTGTTAAAAATTTATTAGAATTTATTTGAATATTTTGGTATTAGGAACTTGTATGTACTTACTAAAGTTAGACTTAAAAGTGTTTTTTGGCTGGAGGAGGGACTGACGTAAACTTCAAATATGTATTCATAAATATTATTGTTCTTTTTGATGGTTTAGATAATTTTTATTTATGGTTCTAATAGAATTATTCTAATAGAAATAATAAATAAATAAATAAAAAGTGTTAAGTAATAGAATTATACTTCATGTTAAATGGGATGGTGGTTTCCAAATAGGAGGGTAAAGGAATTATTTGATTTCATGAACTATCTAAATTAGAAATAAAAAATAAATTACTTCATGATTCCATATTTTGTTATATTTATAAGGACTTAATTTTATATTTATTCATTTTGATAGCCCATATATTAGGATTTATTTATTTTTCTACTTCTACATTAAACTGATCTATTAGGTTTTTTTAGTTTTAATGTCTATGTGATTTATTGGATAATTCAGTTCCTCTAGTATTGGGTGAATTAGAGAAGGAATGATATTTAAATTAATTATTTCCATGATTCACACTACTACTATATTAAGTAGGTATTTTTTTATTGATATTTAATTTAGATAGAAACTTTTTTTTACTATCAGTTTAGATTGCAACACTATAACTATGTTATCTATGTGAATGATCTAAAGATTAAAATTAAAGTTCTTAATCAAGAAGACTAAGTAAATCAAATTATCTTTATAGTATTGGTAATTTTTGTTAAAATTATAGTATAAATAAAATGAAATAATTTGATACATTTCATTATGACTAGTATTATGTGATATATTAGATATATTTTATGGAGGAGCATTATTAGTATCATTTTAGATGCAAGAATTTCAGATTCAAAATAAATCACCAATTTCATCTTAATCAGGTTCATCAGCCATTTATGATTAAATTTCTTAATTTTCATTAATTTCTTTTAGATTATGTTATTATAGAAATTGATTTAATGATACTCTAACATTATCAATAGTTTATAATTAATTGATTTTCCAATTACCTTTAAGTATAAGTGTATCGTATTCATATATTCCTTCTCCTTCCTTTAATCCATTAAGCCAATAACCTTTGTAAATAGCTTTATCTTACCAAATAATTTCACCATAACCCCAACATTTTATCATCAACAAGATAACCTTAATATTTAGTTCCATTAGCATATTCAAATATTCTTTCTCCCCATTTTTTATCATTTACATATTATCCTTTATTTGTATTTATTCCTTCTTATATTTTACTTTACCAAATTCCAAGTCCTTTTATAAATTCACCCTTATAACAATTACTATTATCCCAATAAAATTCACCATTACCATTAGGTTTACCATTTTTATATTCTCCCTTAAAATAATCACCATTCTCAAAATACTCTTAACTATTACCATGTTTAAGATCATTTGTAATATAGCTAATATATCTAAAATATTTATTAATTTAATATATATCTTCATATAAATACAAAATCCAAAACATCTACCATTTTCCCATTATCCTAAATAATAATCACAATGACTTCCTTAATACCATCCTATTCCATTAATATAATAATCATTATTAATTTAATACTTTTTTTCCTTAATGCCATTAACCAATATATTTTTAGTTTTTAGACCAGAATACTCCTTTTCCATGTGGTAAATCATTTAAATATGTACCATAATAAAATTAATTTGGTTTCACTAATTCAATCCTATTCCATACTTCTTATCTAATTTGTATGCTATAACATTACTAAAATAATTGTTGTTATTAAAAATAGGAATAGTTGTAATTATAGCTAACAAAGATTTGAGTATATCTAAAATAAATAGTAATCCTTAATTTTTAATATGTAATTTATAGTAATTCCTATTGAGTCTAGAACATTAACTAATGTTTCTAATCAAGAATGCTTATGACTCTCTCTATTAAAATAAATGATTTTTAAAATATATTGAGAATTAGAATATAAAAAATACCAAAAATACTTAACTTAACATGAATGAATGTAAAGTTTTAAGTGATCAATTAAATTAAATTGAAATTTCTCATAAATTTTAAATATAAATAAAAAAATAGATGTTGGATATTGTTAATAATTTTTATTTAATATAGCTCAAAATGACATGATATAAATATAATTATTTACTAATTTTAATTGTTAGAAATTAATAACTATAAATTATGGATATCTTATCACTTCCTCAATACACAACTTGATTTCACATTTCTCAGGATTTAAAATTTTTTCTGGTAATCAAACTTCTTTTGAGGTTACTGGATTAAATAATTCAATTATTTTTATATTATTTAGATTTAAGTTTTGAGATTATTTCTAAAATCATGTAAAAGTTTTATATTCTAAATTTAAATATTTTTATTAAAATAATTTAATTTACTTATTTCATTATTAAACTACTCTTACTTTTATAATTCTTGTATTGCATTTTCAACATTTTATTTCATGTTATCTATTGATAATAAATTTATGAATTAATTAGAACTTTTTCAATTATATTAATCTAACATCTATGCTCTGATTACTATTAAAGTATTTTTAATAATCGTACTTATTAAATAAAAGACAAAAGAAAATAGAGTTTATAATTAATCTTTTTTTTATGATTAAAATTTATATCATATTTAATTTAGAATTTATTTGTTGTAAATTCAAATTTATTAATATAACTTATAAATTATAAATCAAGCAATGCATCATCCTTTTTGAATAAATACCTAGAAATCCTAAAAACTTTTTGAGAGTTAAAACAAATCTTATTAAAAATATGATATATTTCCATTAATTAAGCAACCTGTATGAAAAACATTAGAGTTAAACTTTTATTTTGGAAGAAAATTCAATCAAAAAATAAGCTGTCTCACCTATCAATTAATCAGTAAAATGTTAACTGGTCAATATGGGATGATTAGAGCTTATGCTGCTAATACAAATTACGAAATTGTAAGAGATTATAATGATGATAGAGCCTCTATTATTTCAAATATATAATAGAGTAGATTTTCACAGAATTTTGTAGGAATTATCAGGAAAGGATTTGAGAATCATTTTTTAGCTTATGCATTGGATCAATATTAAAAAGGATTACATTAAAAAAGTAGTGTGCTATAGTTCGTTTAATTTTTGGAGATTTTTAGTATTTTGTTAATGTCGAAGATAGTAGAGCTGTTCTAAGTTCTTAAAAAAAAGAGTAAAAAATTTATCAATTGATAATGAACCAGAAGAGAGAGAATTCAAAAAGGAAGAGGAAAAATATATCAAACTTAAAGAATTGATGACCAAAGAATTTAAGTAACTGAACCATTTAGAGTGATGTCAGGATGGTTATCAATTTCAAGAATTTTTAGAGATATAGAAATTAAATTTTAATAGTTTGATGGAAATTCAAAAGTTGTAATATCTGAACCAGATTGATTTTATTGTTTTAGAATGTAAGCATTATCATGAATTTAAGGTGATTGGATCTATGATAAATAATAAAAATATTTTTAAATATTTTAAGATTAAATTTCTTCTTTTAAGTAGTAATTACCTGTATTAAATAAATGAAATTAATTATCAACCTTAATTCTTAAGTGGATTAAACTTGTTATATCTTGTTAAATAATTAATAAAAATCTTTTGTTTAAAATACAAAAAGAAGGGAGATCATCGAAAATTTTTTAACAAATTTAAAATTTAGTCATATTGAGAAAGAGAAATAAACTTTAAATTCAATTTTTCATAATCAGAATTTACAATTATAATAATAGAATTAAACATAATAAAATATATTTCTAATCCTTATTGTTCAAAATCATATACTTTTATTAAAATTTCAAGGAGTTATTGAATATATATCAGGCTCAATAATTAAAAAAATAAAATAAATTACAAAATACGATTAAAATAAGAGAAATACCAGTTTAATAGTTAGATATTTATTAGATAAGAAAAAATTGTAATTTTACTTAAATATATATATTACTAATGATTCTTATCAAAACAATCAAAATAAATTAGATGATGAGTGTAAATTAATTTAACAAATCTCAAAGTTAAAAAAAGAAAAAATATGCATAAGTCATTTAAGAATACTTAATGGGAAGATTTGGTGGGTATTTATGATTTTGTAATATGATTTATTTAATAATTATAATGAATTATTACAAATGAAATCATAAATAGGTTCTAAGTTACTTAAATTTGATACATTAAACAGAATTTTTATTGCAAATATTCCTAATCAACAATAAACATTCACCTAGAATTGCACAAGAATTTTGATTTTTTATTAAATATATTAGAGAACTTTAAAAATATAAAAAGATTAATAAAATTTTATTTAAAACAATTAAATTAAAAATCAGCATAATAATTTGATTTTTAAGACTCTAAACCAATTTATAGGATTAAAATTCATAATTTTTATAGAAACAAAAAAGTTGATTGAAGTATATAGTAGGGAATTTATGAATTTAGAAAGAATTAAAACATAAATTTTATGAAAAGTAAAATAATAGTTTCATTATATTTAGAGCTAAGTCAAAAAAGCAATATCTTTTTTTTCAACTTTTATTTTACATAGGCAAAATTTGATTTTAAATTATTTTTCAATTAAATTTACTTCCATGTTTTTATTTATAAAAAATAAATAACTGATTAATAAACTTAATTCACAAATATTAGATTAAAATTAAAAAACAGTCATCTTAATTCTTAATATAATAAATACTTTCAATTTTAATTTTTAGAATCTTTGGTAAAAGATTAAAATTTTAATGTAGGATTATGATTTAATTGTAATAATCGATTTGAAGGGCTAAATACAACTTTTACAATAAAATTAGAACTTAAATTAGAACTTCAGCAACAGGTAGCAAGTTTTCTAAATTTAAATTCTTTTTACTCAGCTTTCCTATCTGAATTACTTTCACTAAATTCACTATCATAAAGTGTGTATTCATCTTACCCCTATGATGATTATATTCCTTTTAATCTTTCATTTAATATATTAAATAATCCTTTAAGGCTTATCATTCCATATTTTAGTATTTTTTTATAGAATACTGTTTCTAAATTCAATAATAAAGTATAACAATTTTCTCTAATTTTCCTTTAATTTGATAAGTATTTCCAACTTCAATTATAGGTTTTGTGTAGCCTTTTTTAATAAATTTGCATATTTTTGATTTGCCACATCCAGTTTCAAGCGTAGTATCAACTATAATGATGGTATCATACTTATCATATTTTTGCTATAACTCTTCAATTCTACAATTTGACAATTTTCATTAGTAGAGGATTATAAACAAATAATGTATGAGGTCTTGCATCTGCTCCACATACTGGAAATTTTGTTTTTAAATTCTTAGTGATTTCTAGTATATTAGAAAAAGTGGCTAACTCATTTTATTTGAGAGTGCATTCTTTAAAGTATCTCATTTATTTGATCTTACTATGAATTTCATTGATAGATTCATTATTCAGGCTTGATTTATTGTTAAGGTAGAATAGACTTAAGAATATTATCAATATTTTATGATACTATTAAAGTTTTTGGATATTTATTTTTATAATTTGCAATCTATATGTGATCTGCATTAGGATTATTTTTATGAATATTCTATAGTTATTACTTGAATTGTTTTAAAATTTTATTAATCTGATTTAATACTACTTACCTCATTGACTTTCCAATAATATCTAATTGTTAACCATAACATATCTTAATTGGTTTTTCAATCATGTATGTTTTCAACAGTTGATCTAACTGAAGCATATGCTTCATCTAAATTTATGAAATAACCTCAAGCGTTATAAAGTTTTTTTTGATCTTGCCTAAGTTAATAATTAAATTAATCATTTAAAAATATAAAAATGTTTAAAATTGAAAAGCAAACTTATCATAAAAAAATTTTAAGCAATTTCTTACTTATTTTCAAATAAATAATAAATACAAAAATTTATTTTTAGTTAAAAAAAAACAAACAAATATTATGTAATAAAAATATAAATCTTGATTATTTTAAATAAAAATACAAATAATTTCATTCAATTATGTAGATTGATTATTTAAAAATAAAAACAAATTTCAATAAATTATGTATATTGAATATTTTATATTAAAATAACTCAAATTTCATTAAATTATTTATATTGAATATTGTATTTAAAAAAACTAACAAATTTCATTAAATTAATTAGATTCAAAAATGAAACTAAATTTCAATTAATATATTTATATTGATTATAAAAATACAACTAAATTGTAATAAAAATATTTAGATTGATTTTTTATTGTAAAATACAAACAAATTTCATTAATATAATTTATTATGATTATTTTATTAAAAATACAAACAAAAATCATTAAATTTTTTATATTGATTATTTTAAATAAAACTACATCTGAATATCAATTAAAATATTTAGTGTGATTTTTTTTATTTAAAAATACAACTAATTTTCATTAATTTATCTATATTGACTATTTCTCAATAGTTATTTTGTTTTTATTAGATATTTTAAATTAATGTAAAATCGAGAAATCCCTCCCCTTTTTTAAGGTTTTCTCTTACAATGGTTTGATCTCTTGTATTTTAATTCTATTTATTAAAATAGCAAGTTTAATCCTTATTTATTTATGAAGACACATAATTTATCATCTTTTCCTTTCAAAACTTTATTTTTCTAAATATTCAAA